GTTAACCGCAATGAGTCGCCGTTGTAGGCTGAGATATTGCGGTATATAAGCATACAAAATAAAAATAAATAATAAATGTAATAATAATAATAATAAAGAGTAAAATAATAAATGTAATAATAATAATAAATAGAGTAAAATAATAAATGTAATAATAATAAAGTAAAATAATTTGAATGTAATTTTATTTTTGGTCGTGTCAAGAGCAAGTCGCTTCTGGTGTGAGAGAATTGGCCGTCTGCAAGGACGTTGCCCAGGGGACGCCTGGATGATTTGATGCTTTTATCAAAATTGTGGGAGGCTTCTCCCGTGTCCTCGCATGAGGAGCTGGAGCTGATAGAGAGAGCTCATCCGCCTCTCCCCAGATTTGAACCTGCAACCTGTCAGTCTTCAGTCCTGCCGGCACAGGGGTTTAACCCACTGCGCCACCGGGGGTTCCATTTGAATGTAATAATAATAGAGTAAAATAATAAATGTAATAATAATAATAATAAATGGAGTAAAATAATAAATGTAATAGTAACAATACATAGAGAAATATAATAAATATAAAAACATCAATAATAGAATAAATGTAATAATAATAGAGTAAATAATAAATGTAATAAAAATAATAATAACAGTGTAAAATAATAAACAACCTTAACTCAAGCATAAGCCAAGAAGGAGCTTATCCTTGAGCCTTAAAAAAGGGACAAAAAACCCGGCTTATACTCGAGCAAATACGGTAACTTCATATTCTCTGGCCCTGAACCAACTATGATTATGGATTTTATTGCCTTGAAAGGTGAATTGGGGTTCCTGACCTCTGTCCCCCCCCCCCGTCCCCCCGTCCCCCCACCCCACCCCCAGGAAGTGCTTACAATTCTTTGGAGATCTTTCAGCTTCACTGAATTCTTAGTCGTCGAGAATTTTTCCAATTCTTCCTCAGGATAAACTTCTAGCTCTTGCTGAGAAGACAAGAAATTCTAGTAAACAATTTTGGTGCAGAGACACAACACAGCAACAAATGTCGGACATCACAGATCGACTTAATCGAACTGTTTTAAGACATAAATCCTACCTTGATCTTGCGCCGACAACGTTTTTTCCCTCTGCTTTTGCGGGTGTTATATTTGGCCAGTTGGTAGGCGTCAAACTGTCGGAATTTATCTGCCATAGAAGCACGGAGGCAGGATGGCATGGAAGCCACCTTTTCTCCTCCCCCTGCGAGACTCTAAAAACCAAAGAGAACAGCAACGAAGATGAGTGCCACTTGGCCAGAAAAAGCAGAAAAGAAGAGTTTGGTATCATCAGATTAGCGCTGGAACACCCTGCCAAAGGAAAATGACACAACACAGAAAAATAAACATGCTCTCTCCTACCTGATGGATCCTGGCCACCTCCATCCAGTCAGATGGCAGCTGCATCGCGTGGCAGAAATAGCGCCGAAGGTGAGGACGGCAGGGCAGAATGCGAGAAGACAGAGCCAGGAGGAAATTGGCAGTGCTGCGGATATTCAGCTCTTGGCGAGTGTACAAGGCAACCTGTAAGAGAAAGTGTCACCCACAGAAGGTAAGGACATCTCTGAAATTCTCCCAAATAGAAGGACATCAGCAATAGTCAAAAAGACTTTTAAAAGCGGACCCAAGAAGGTTGTTGTCGTAGATGCTGGAAGAAGGTGCTGGGAGACCAGGGTCCAAATCCCTGCGCAGCCCTAGAAACTCACTGGAAGATCTTAGGGAGGTCATGCTCTCTCAGCCAATGCGCCCTACAGTAAACAGGGTTTTCCTAGAAGGATTTGTTCAGTGGAGGTTTGCTTTTGCTTTCCTCTGAGGCTGGGAGAGTATGACTTGTCCAAGGTTTCCACAGACCATTAAGGAATAGAATCCTTTTCCCAGTTTTAGTCCAATTATCAAACCACGACACCATATAATAATAATAATAATAATAATAATAATAATAATTATTATTATTATTATTATTATTATTATTGTCGAAGGCTTTCATGGCTGGAATCACTAGGTTCTTGTGGGTTTTTTCGGGCTATAGAGCCATGTTCTAGAGGCATTTCTCCTGACGTTTCGCCTGCATCTATGGCAAGCATCCTCAGAGGTAGTGAGATGAAGGCGAAACGTCAGGAGAAATGCCTCTAGAACATGGCTCTATAGCCCGAAGAAACCCACAAGAACCTATTATTATTATTATTATTATTATTATTATTATTATTATTATTTTGAAAAAGGAGATGGAGGGCCTGATTCTGGCAGCCCAAGAACAAGCCATTAGAACCAATGCCATCAAAGCCAGGATTGAAAAGTCGACAACAAATCCCAAGTGTAGACTCTGCAAGGAAGCAGATGAAACAACAGATCACATCCTCAGCTGCTGCAAGAAAATCATGCAGACAGACTGCATGCAGAGGCATAATACCATTGCTCAGATGATTCATTGGAACTTGTGCCACAAAGACCATCGGCCTGTGACAAAGAACTAGTGGGATCACAAGCAGGAAAAAGTTACAAAGAATGAACATGTCAAGCTACTCTGGGACTTCTGAATTCAGACAGAGTTTTGGAGCACAACACTCCTGACCTCACAATCATGTTAAAAAACAAAGTATGGATTGTCGATGTTGTAATCCCAGGTGACTGCAGGATTGAAGAGAAACAACTGGAAAAGATGACACGATATGAGGATTTAAAGACTGAACTGCAAAGACTCTGGCACAAGCCAGTCAAGGTGGTCCCAGTGGTGATCGGCACACTGGGTGCAGTGCCTAAAGACCTTGTCCTGCACTTAAACACAATCGGCGCTGATAAAATTACCATCTGTCAGCTGCAAAAGGCCACCTTACTGGGATCTACACGCATTATTTGCCAATATATCATACAGTCCTAGATACTTGGGAAGTGTCCGACATGTGATCCAATTCAACAGCCAGCAGAGTGTCTGCTGTAGACTCATCTTGTTGTGTTTCAAATAATAATAATAATAATAATAATAATAACAACAACAACAACTTTATTTACAGACCACTCTCTCTCCCTGAGGGCACTCAGGGTGGTTTACAACACAAAACGGCTAACATTCAATGCCCAAACAAATGCAAAAACAAAACAACAACAACAAAAAACACAATTGCAATACTGCAGTTGAATAAATATAATAATGATAGTGAACTTATTGTATAAAAATTGACATCCAAATGAAAAACAAGACACAAATAATCACACAGAAACTGGCTACACTAATCACATACTCAACATTAAAATATTTCAAATGATAACACCAATTAAAACAAATTGAAACTGGCTGATTATAGTTGTTCTTGAAGTGTACCCAAGGCAAAATATAAATTAAATAAACTTGCAAATCCCTTCCCAGCCATCTCTGATTTGCAATGGTCTCCCTGGAAACCAACTAAGCAATTGCAGCAAAGCAGATGGCATGGGGAAAAATGCAGGTTTTGTCATGGCTCACTCACTTGGGTTCAAATTGACCTGCAGTGCAGGGTTACTCATAATACTTCATTCCCTTTCTAAGTCTTTGGATGCAGTGCCAGAAATTGGTCTTCCAGTATCTTCCCTGTTTACCTTGAGGATGAATTCAGGGTCGTGTTCTGAGAGACTTTTGCAAACTTGCGTCAATGCTTGCTGCAGCTCTCCAGGAGGGTTCCCGAACTTTGCTCCTTCCACCAGTGAGCAGCAGGCCAAGCTCAACAGCATCAGCTAAAAAGAGAGAGAAAGAAAGAAAGAAAGAAAGAAAGAAAGGAAGGAAGGAAGGAAGGAAGGAAGGAAGGAAGGAAGGATGGATGGATGGATGGATGGATGGATGGATGGATGGATGGAAGGAAGGAAGGAAGGAAGGAAGGAAGGATGGATGGATGGATGGATGGATGGATGGATGGATGGATGGATGGATGGATGGAAGGAAGGAAGGAAGGAAGGAAGGAAGGAAGGAAGGAAGGAAGAAAGAAAGAAAGAAAGAAAGAAAGAAAGAAAGAAAGAAAGAAAGGGGAAAGGCTGTATAAGGTTCTCCGTTTGAGATCTCCTGCATGAGCCTAAGCAGCCTAGTCTACTGGGCACCACCTCCTACTTTTACTACTGAATAGGGGTTTAGCATTATGTCTCTCCCAAGGCCAGATTTAGGAGTTGGTGAGAGACTCAAATCATAGGCTAGCATCACAGATACTAAGCTCAAGGTGATATGTATCATGGAGCAAAGTCCATCCTAAACTTATACTGGCAAAATACACATTCTGACCTCCATGTCTCCAGGGGATACGTTCCTGGGCTTCACAGAGATATACCAACATGTAAATAATAGCAAATCCTAACAAAATGAATTACTTTAAGCCTAAGAATACCATAGGGTCGCACTGGAAGATCCAGAAAATGCCTAGAGGCATATTTTGTCAGATAAGTGAGACTGTAAATTCCAATCCCATGGATTGTACTGTATGCAGAAGATGTTTGTCACTGCCTTCCTTTTAGGCTGAGAGAATGTGACCTGCTCAAAGTCTTATAGCAATTTTCCATGATTGACTGGTGATTCAAACCGTAATTCAGCAGTCAAACCACTATACTAAACGGTTCGGGCCCCGCCTATCTCCACAATCGCATCTCCTTCTATGAACCGGCACGAACTCTAAGATCTTCCGAGGAGGCCCTCCTCTCGGTCCCACTACCGTCTCAAGCGCGGTTGGTGGGGACAAGAGAGAGGGCCTTCTCAGTGGTGGCCCCCCACCTCTGGAACGCCCTTCCAAGGGAAATAAGACAGGCCCCATCCCTCCCCTCCTTTCGTAAGAGTTTGAAGACCTTGTGGTTTCAACAAGCCTTTGAAAATGGCCAGTTCTAACTCAGCCCTACACACAGTCGAATACGGCCTTATTCTTCCTACCAATTACCCAGATCATTTCCTCTAGTCGACCTTGGAATGAACAGCCACAGACCTGTACCTAATATTGTTGTTGCCTGCCATAGCATTGCATTTTATTCCTGGCCCCCCTAGAGTTTTTGGGCTTGCACAAATCTTGGCCCGGCCTTTTAAATTTTTTAAATTGCCTTGAACAGGCAGGATTACTTTTAATATATGTGTGTTATGGTGACAATTTTATGCATATTTTGTTTTGTTAATCTTATGGTTATGATTTTTACCTGGGAACTGCTCTGAGTCCCCTCGGGGAGATAGAGCGGTATATAAATAAAGTTTTTTTATTATTTATTATTATCTGTGTAGAATATAATCTAGACAGATAAAATATTTTTTCCCCCAGGGATATGAGAGTCCATTCATCAAATAGGTCATGTTACTACCATACCTACCTTTTGTTCTTTCACATCCTGATCTTCAATCTCCAATGATAATTCTTCTCCAGAGAGCTCACTCTCATCCTGCTGCACCTTCAACTTGTCTTCTGGGATTGTCAAAACATACTCTGGCATCGTTCCACCGAAGTCCATCTCATCTCCATCTTGTTGATGCTACATGGGAAGCAGAAAGCATACCTACTTTTACCCAATCGGAGATAACGAGGTGGCAAGGTGTTAAAGGAGAAGGCTTTGTGCTCTTTGTCCTGCTCTGGACCTTCTAAGACAGTGTCACAATCCTATCCTTAAGTTGTGCCTTGCTCACTCTGTCCCGACATGTACCTTTGCCATATATAATCAGTTTTTAATTAGAAGACACAAATGATCTATGTTTTTATTACTCTTGTTATGGTTTTATATCATGTGTTAATGTTTTAAATGTTTTATGATGTTTTGGGGCATTGAATTGTTGCCTCTGTAAACCGCTCAGAATCACCTGAAAGGCTGAGAAGGGCAGTATACAAATATAGTAAACAATAAATAATAAAATAAATAATCACACATGGCTATTGCGTATAACCACACATGCTTTCTGTATTGCATTGTACTACAGTATGTATCAGCTACCCAGTTATATGTGCATAATATCCATCATTGTGATTATTATATTATATTATATTTGCTTTAATGCTAGTATATGTAATGGGGTCATGTGTAATGTAGGAAACCTGTTAGTAAAATAAATTACTTGGTAGTAGGGTGGTACGGCCAACATCTCCTTAGCTAGGGATCTGGGAATATCTTGTTCAGACTGAGTGATGGGCTTTGTTAAGAGAGCAAAGTAACTTATGCTTTTTGTCATGGAAAAGCAGAGAGTGGGAATGGGAAGGTGTTTGGATTATCTGGTCAAATGAAGGAAAAAGTATAACTTATATTGCATTTTGACTAATGACATATGGACTGGATGAGGGTCAACAAGCTGAAACTAAATCCAAACAAGACAGAGGTACTCCTGGTCAGTCGAAAGGCACAACAGGATATAGGGTTATAGCCTGTGCTGGACGGGGTCACACTCCCTCTGAAGACACAGGTTTGCAGTTGAGGGTTAATCCTGGAGTCATCGCTGACCCTGAAACCCCAGCTGTTGGCGGTGGCCAGGAGCACCTTCGCACAACTAAAACTTGTGTGCAAGCTGTGCCCATACCTTGAGACGCCTGACTTGGCCATGGTAGTATATACCTTAGTCACATCCTGTTTGGACTAGTGCAACACTCTCTACATGGGGCTGCCTTTAAAGAAAGCTCGGAAGCTACAGCTACTTCAGAGATCGGCAGCCGGGTTACTAACTGGGGCTCCGTACAGGGAAAGAACCCTTCCCGTGTTATGGCAGCTCCACTAGCTGCTGGTCCACATTTGAGCTAAATACAAAGTGCTGGTTGTTACCTATAAAGTCCTAAATGGTTTGGGTCCAGGCTATTTGTCTAACCATGTCTCCCTATATAGATCATCTTGCACACTTCGATCAGCCAAAGGGGCCCTGCTCTCAGTCCACAAGCAAGGTTGATCGCTCTTCACCTCTGGAACTCCTTTCCTAAATAAATAAAAATGGCCCCTTCCTCTCCTTAAAAAAACTTCTGTAAACTCATCTTTGTACATTAGCGTACAGAGATAAAGGAGAACTAGCACAATCAGCAATTTAGGGCTGCTACAGTCTATTTTGAATTACAACTGTATTTATTTATTTATTTATTTATAACTTTTATATACCGGTCTTCTCAACCTCTGCAGAGAGACTCAGTATGATTCACAACAAAAGATTCATAAACAGTAGTTTAGAACATCTGTAACTGTAACTATGATGTTACTGTTTATTGTTTGCGTTTTCGGTTTGTGCTTTTGGTTTTTCTTTATTGTAATTGTTATTTGGGCTTGGCCTCATGTAAGCCGTTCCGAGTCCCCATCGGGGAGATGGTGGCGGGGTATAAATAAAGATGATGATGATGATTATTATTATTATTAACTGATACTTGACACATTTTGCAGTTTGGTAATTTTAATTGTTCTGGATATATGGTTTTGTGCAATTATGTTTTATTGCTGTAATTATGTTTTATTTAAGTATTTGTATTTCTTATTCTTTCAATCTTAATTCTGCTTTGTAATAAATCTGTTAATGTTTAATTTTCATCTTTTGATATTGTGTGGTTTCAATTATGGCATGGAATGTTGCCTTTTTATATATATGTAAACCACGCCTTTTTATATATATGTAAACCACTACTGCGGACAAGAGGAACATCGAAGAAATGGAGTAGCCTTCATAATTAATAAGAAATTCGCTAAAGCGGTGCTTGGATACAACCCAAAAAATGACAGAATGATCTCAATTCGAGTGCAAGGAAAGCCTTTCAACATTACAGTGATCCAAATATACGCCCCAACCACAGCTGCTGAAGAAGCAGAAGTAGATCAGTTCTATGAGGATCTGCAGGACCTACTGGATAATACACCAAAAAGAGACATTATTTTCATTACAGGAGACTGGAATGCCAAGGTGGGAAGTCAAATGACAACTGGGATCACAGGCAAGCATGGTCTTGGACAACAAAATGAAGCGGGACGCAGGCTGATAGAATTTTGCCAGAAAAACTTGCTGTGTATAACGAATACTCTCCTCCAACAACCTAAAAGACGGCTTTATACATGGACTTCACCAGATGGTCAACACCGAAATCAGACTGACTACATCCTTTGCAGCCAAAGGTGGCGG